GCGCGCACACACACACACACACACACACACACACACACACACACACACACACACACACACACACACACGCGCGCGCACACACACACATACACACACGCTCTCTCTCTCTCTCTCTCTCTCTCTCTCTCTCTCTTTCTCTTTCACTCGGTCTGTGTTATCCTCCCCTAAATCGCGCTCGCATGGCGGGAGTTCACATTCCAAACGTGTAATCCTTTTAAAGGCAAAATACAACTCTGTCGTCTGCGGTGCGCGCGTGTGCAGCCGTCTGTGTGCATGCGCGTAGACGCTCACTAATATACGCGCGTGCACGCACACGCGAGCGTGTACCTTTTGCGTTTCCACGTATACGCTATTTTACGCCTATACACCATGCATACTTCGTGTTACCCAGGCAACGATTGTAAAACAATCATAGATATAGAATAGGAGATATGATATCTGTATTCCATATCTATGAAACAACTCAAGCATTTATTGCTCGAGCTAAGTGAGAGATGCCGGAATCGATAGAATGTTATGACACATAATGGCACCTTCTTTACACGACATCCGATGGACAGGTTTATAAAACCCGGTCAATAATCAGGCGCCAAAAATGTACGAGTGACCTGTCGCATTGGGGAATTCTCGATACACCAACATCCGCGCCCAACCCTTCGTACGCCTCTTGGTAAAGTTGGTTCCGGTCGTGTGAATGATTGTGTATTGGGTGAGGGACAGGTGAGAAGGATGGGACAGTTTTTCTCTGTCACCCCAGCTATGCAGCCTGATTGTTCATATAGCCTATGGCAGCTGTACGTGCAGCAGTAGACTCGGTGACTATAACCAATCAGAGGTGCTTCAATGTCACATACTGAAACAAGCTGACGGGGAGGAGTTTAATATCGCTCGGAAGCTGAATGGCGGAAATTTGCATTGTTAGCTGGACATCTGACACTATCACTTGCGCGGGCCAGGTGTCAGATATTTATATGCTTGGCTGGTCTATATTCTGTATACGTTTTATGCGATAGATATGTGTATCTGTATTGTTCCAATGCATGTTACGTGACAGATACGTGTATCTGCATGCTTCTAGTACGTGTTACGTGACAGATGCATGTATCTGCATGCTTCTAGTACGTGTTACGTGACAGATATGCGTATCTGCATGCTTCTAGTATGTGTTACGTGACAGATACGCGTATCTGCATGCTTCTAGTATGTGTTACGTGACAGATATGCGTATCTGCATGCTTCTAGTACGTGTTACGTGACAGATATGCGTATCTGCATGCTTCTAGTACGTGTTACGTGACAGATACATGTATCTGCATGCTTCTAGTACGTGTTATGTGACAGATAT